CATATCCTTCCAGCTGATTATTTCCCGCCTTCTCTCTAGACCCACTTTGTTGCCTTTGCTATCTGCATGACAGCACTGAAGACTCACAGGCACTGTGCTGGCTGGCACCAGAACCAGCATGCAGGGGACTGCTGCCTGCACTGTGAATCACCAGAAGGCTCTGGAGCTTTAAATGGGAAGCAGAACACGCTGCTGTCTAGATAGACAAATGAAACTTCAACCAGCTCTCTAGCTTAGGAAACAAGCTCTGAATCACTCTGAGGGCAAGGTGCCAGGAGTGGCTCCGCTCTAATCCTGGCTCCACTGTTTGCTCGCTGTGTGGCCTTCAGAAAAGCTCCTAGGAGTAAACACTGCTCCTTCCTCCTCCTTCCTGCCAGCATCCCCTCTGTTCCCGCATCCTCATGCCCCGGCTAAGAGCAGTACCCCACTGCTGGCCATGCACTTAGGGGTGGAGGAGGGAAATGCTCCCCTCAGTCTGTCACAGCACACTCAACAGCCAAACAGGGTTCTTCTGCTTTCTGTTTCTCTCCCTTTTCCTGGGCCTCCCATGGACAGTGCTTCGGGTGAGCAAAATCACCAGAGGTGCTGAGTGTGGAGGCTGGCTACTGCCAAATGGGGTTGCACTTAACATCTTCTGGGCTCAGACATGAAGGTCCTGGTGCTGCATTCATAAAAGCCCAGCGTCCTAGATAAACAGAGCGCATCGATATTTATTTTAAGAAGCTTGGAATCGAGACTTAATACTGGAGAAAGAGCTATTCTTACGCTGTGTTAAAAGAACTTGTTCTAATACAATATTTCCTAACTTCAGACATGGTAGCCTAGTAAGCTCCATTACCATGGTAATACTATATAAAAATGATCCTTTATTATAAATCATACCGTACACCAAAAAGGATATAAATAGAGCCCCAATGCGGCATTGGCATGCCTCATATTTCTCTTGGTTCACATTAAATGAGCCACTAAATTACAGTGTCCTTCTTTGTAATATTATCCTCCAAAGCCAAGCATTTTGTGCATTACGCAGGGCTGTTCTAACAAGAGAAATTAGTATGGCTGGTTTAATTCAGCCAGGTTTGCCATGCGTGTTATAGGAGAGGGTGCTAAAACAGGCCAAAATGAGCAATTTCATTGTCCTTTCAAAAACCCCTCACTCGGAACGTGCAGTAAGAGTGGGAGCACGCTCAGGGCTGACAGACAGATCGCTCCTGAGGGGTTGGGGCCTGGCACCCCAAGCCCCAGCAGCAAAGAAGTGAGGGCAGAGGCAAGGATTTGGGTTGCAGCTTTCCCTGGGTCTCACCTACTGAAACGGGGAGAGATTTGCCCCACAGGATCAGTGCCTGTTCATAAAGCAGCCCAAGCTTCTCTGCGATGGACAGCGCTACAAAAATGCAAACACAGATTTTCTGTACGGCAAAACGTAAATACAGCACTCACACCGGGGGATCAAGCCTGAGACCTGTCTCTATCAGAGCTATCTAACCGCACTAGAGAAGAAAACCTTTCCACAGTCCTAGTAGCTGTACATGCCTTCAGGGACACTTAAAGTAATTCAGGTCAAAAATGTAGGTTGTTTTATTTAGCAGACAAAGCGGTGGGGAAAGGAAGGAGAGGGAAGGAGGAAACAGGCTGTTGCAAAAATACACTCCTCACAAAGGGCTTTTCAGGATTTCCCCCCAGATTTAGGCGATGTTTCTCTGCAGGCTCACAAGGCCCAAGCTCTGCTGTAGGGGCTGGGCTGCTGCCGCAGGGCCGGGCCACACTTAGGCAGCCATTTTAGAGTGGTTCCCTCAGAGAGGCTACCTCTCCTCCTGGCTGCAGCCCAGAGCGCACAGCAGGCTGGGGGGAGCAGGCCCAGCACAAAACTACCCAAGCATGGTCTTTCTGCAGAGTATACAGAGCTGGAGCAGTTCCAGGAGATTTCATAGCAAATTGTCTGCCACAAGGAGATGCATTCCCTTATGCATGTGGAGAGACTGCAGGCTCTGTTTCCTGTGAGCAGGGCTTGCAAAGCAAACCACACCATGAACCATCAACTAAAGGTTTCTATTACCTACAGCATGCTCCATGATGGTGTGAGATACTGTGAAAATGGCAAGCAGCCTTGTGGAAGTGAAGTACAACCTCTACAGTGCAACTCTTGGCACCGTACCCCCTCAGAAAAATCCTCAAGCAAATGAGAGTTGTGCAAGCTATGAAACACCCAGCTGAGTTGAGAAAGTGTTGACCCTTTGGCAGGGGGAGCAGAGCTCGCTAGCAGGGAGGCACACAGGAGGCCACAGGCTCCCCCTCTCTGCCTACACTGAGGCTGACAAGGAGCTATGGAAGATCAGCAGAGAAGGGACAAAGTGAGAGGACAGCCTCTGCAAGGGAGAAGATACCTTGCTTTTGTTTCTCCTTCCTTGCAGTCCCAAAGCTGCTTTTCACCATCCCACTACCCTTGAAAATTCCTGAACTTGAGAACATCTCACGCATCTGTCATGCTTCTTCCTTCACTTGGCCCCCATGCTCATACAGTTCCATGCCATCAGAGAGCCACTCATTTTGAGGCATGGATTGACTGACTGACTGACTGATCTTGCACAAGAGATACACCAGCAAGTACTCCTGAACTCGTAACCAGTTCAAACAGGGAATTCTGAAACCTGACATATTCAGTGATTCCCTGAGCGGAGCAGGCCATGACTTGCCTGGTGTGGACTGGAAAGCCAGCTTCTATAGAGACTGGAGAATATCAGCTAGCCCATGACAGTGATGAAGAGCCACAAAGGGAAAATGGGTGGTGTTTGGATCTTGTAATTCAATACAAGACCAACTCTGTCATTTAAGAAACATTTACTAAAAAAGAAAAGAAAAAAAAAAAAGAAGAAAGGAGGATGACATTCCATTTGTCACAAGAACACAGTGATGTACTTCAGGATCCCTGGTCAGAGATTAAAATAAAGGACACTACTAGTTAAGGTGGGGGTGTGCTAGCATCTTTTACCAGCCTGATTTTCATCTGTTTTTAAAAATCTGCATGCAAAAATGGGAAGCTAGCTACAGCACTGGTAAAGGCAGTCTGGTCTCAGCATGGAGTTCTGGGTCAGATTTGAAGTAAATCAAATTTAACGCCTTAAAAATAGCAGTATTCACTAAAGCCCAAGAAGTGTCAGTGATTTTTTTTTTCTTTGCAACCAGAAAGACAAACAGAAGAGAGAAGGAACAGGAGACAGATTAAAACAGCTTTAATTTTAGGACTCTTCTCATCAAGATGCAATATGTGACACCAAAAATTAGTCCAATTAAAGATGTTTATAACCTAAAGTTGCTTAATTAGCACCTCTAGAAGTTTCCCAACGTTTTCCCCACCAACTTCCCCACTCCTGATGAGCGCAGTCTGAGCTGCCACAGAGGAGGAGAAAGGTGGCAGGGCTTGGTTAGAGGTGTTCTGGTTGTACTCTCTGGCTGTATCTGGATCTCAGTCTGATGGGAATCTACCATCTTCCTAGCAAACCTCTATTGATTGAGGGGCTTAAGGTGCTTCCAGAATGAAACAGTGGCTGAACAAAGGAAGCAAAGCTAACAACAGGGAGAATGCAGTGGGTTTTTGCTGCTGGCACCTTTCTGCAGGTGCAACCCCCCCATCCCATGGGGCTGCAGCAAGTGGGCCCCCACTGCACATGCACTAGCTAGAGGACTGCCCACACACAGCCCCCACAAGCAATGAGACAAGAATGAGATCCAACATGCTTTGTCACTCCAGGCTAAGCGGCACTTCCAAGCAGCCAGGGGCTTTCCCCTGGCCCTGCTGCTGACCTGGCTTTCTCCTTTATGCAGTTTTTCACAAGCATCATGGCACTGCTCACAAGGTGAGTATTGCTGCAGGCTGTTCAACCTGCAGGCAGCACCCATGTCATCTCGGTCCTGGGTTTCCCCCATGTACAGATAGATGAAGAAGACACAAAAGCACTCTTTACCACTCTCCCCCTCCCATCTATTTTACAGCACTTACAATTTTACAGACTTAGATACGGCTCATTGGGACTGTGTATACTGCTTCGTGAAATTCAAACCCAAAATGATGCCTTCCTCAGCAGCCACCTGTGCCAGCACGAGATGCTCGATTTACACCGGCTGGGGATTGCCAGAGGAGGAGCCCTGCTGAGATCGGTTCCCAGGCTCTGTGCTTCTGTTGCCATGGGAATATATTCATTGCTTTCAGAGTAGTTTGGGGAGTACAGAATTCAGGAAAAACAACACGAAGAACAAAACTCTGATCTTCCAATGACACCAGTTTTAAAGATGTAGAATGAGAATACCTCATCTTCCTGATGGAATGTCCATCTAAAATAGGATGAAGAGTTTGTAAAAAAAAAAAATTAAATGGAATGGCCCTGCTAGATCAAATGAAAGGCTCGCTTATCACTCTCTTTCTAATATCTTTTGTCTTATATGGATTGCTTCATGCACATGGGATTTCTGAGTTGTGTTCTGAAGTCTTAAAAGTCATAAATAATGATCTACTCATTCATTACCTCTCTGTTTACAGGCTATGCTATATCTACACAAGTTATGGTGCCAGACCATTAGACATCAAAGGCTCCACATCGCAGGCATCCTACAAAGGAGAAGTCAGCACGATTTTTCCAGGAGCTCACTTCACTATTCCAACAATAATAATGACTTGTACTTGGTGCCTTTGATCCAGATTGCCAAAGCACTTTGTTCTCTGATTGAGAAATTACACATAAAATAGGATTCAATTTGCCCATCATTGGCACGGGCTGGGAGAGTCAGCCTCTAATAATATTTAGCAGCATAAAAAAACCCAACAGTTTATCTACATTAAATCAAAGAGATAATGTAAAGTTCAGGGAATCAAATGTATGATCACCTAATAGTAGCTAATGGTGCTAACAACCATTGGTGAAAAGTGATGTAAGATCTTAAATAACGCTGAGTGTCCAGGACATCACAGGGAGTCACAAGAAGTGGCAGAGAGCATCAGTACTCACCTTGGAAAAGCATGCATTCACCTGAGCATGGATCATCCCCGTTTGATACGCAGTGACCTCCAGCATAGTTCCACCAGGGACATGCCAGTAGGACAGTGCCAGTGAGACTTTGGCCCTGGTGGCTGGAAGTCCTCCGAGTTGCCTCTACAAGCAGGAGACAAGGGAATGTAGAAGAAAGAATTAAAACTAAGCTGACGAGGAGGAACCAAAGATCAATATAACAAAATGGATCTAAATAAAGTAATTACAGCACAATAAATAGGACTGCAGATCTTTTTGATTACTGCTGAGCCTTCAGATCTCCTGGAAGTTCACATCTCACCTTGGAAATCACAGCTGTGGCGACACTGATTGAAGAGAATGAAAGGTTACAGTGGCTTCTGACAACCAAGCCCAGGACTGCCATGTAACCTTACAGCTTTATATTTCTTCTGCATTAATCCTCACCAGTTAGTAACTAATTAGCATAAACCGGACTCAGGGCAAGGATATTAAATAAGAAAACTTGAGAGAAAAGAAATGAGTTGGTTCTCAGTGGAGAGGCAGCCTCACGTCCTCGAGAAGTCACAGGGCAGAGACTAAAGACTTTGGCCTTCCTGATAATCACATTACGACAAAGACAGTTCCTTTGGAGGGCCCCTTTGAAATATGAATTAACTTAATCTTTATGATCTTGACAAATAAGCGATAGTAGAGTGTTTTGACTGTGACACAGACATAGAGGGTAGAGGCTACATCTACGTCAGCAAATAGAGAAGCATAAGAGCAACACTGGTCAGCTTGCAGTAAGTTTTACTTGCAGATGGCTCCCGCTCAGAGCCACAGCCTGAGCATCCACCACTAGTTGGAGAACCTTAGGTTCTCGTGGGGATCTTCTCTGCCAGCACAGTGCCCCCAAGGGGAGACCAGTTTGCCACACCCTGCGCCTCATCAAACTGCAATTATCTGGCGCAACCAGGACAGCTGTTTTTCTCATCCAAATGAAAATGCTAGTGAGAGGCACCTTATCTGTACAGGCCCCCATCCCTTTCACAGCAGCTGATAACTAAACCTGCTCTGCCTTCCCAGCCCCAGCTTCACTCCCCTCCCTCCCTTAAACAATGCTCATGCACTGGCTGTTTGCAAGGTTTAATGGGCAACGAAGGAGCAGAGCAGCAGTTTCTAGGATTTGCACAGGAGAGCAAATATCCAAAGACAGAATAACTGTGGCAAGTGAAGCAAAGCCTACCTCAGCTGTACCTTACTGAGGATGTGGTCACTGGTTCTAGACCAATGCAAACCTCCACAGCACACACAGACCAAGCAAGAGCTGTGCCCTGTAACAGCAGGGTTTTCCTCAAGTATTTGGCCTTAAGCCTCTGTAAATAACATCATTGCAAACAGCAGCTATACTTTGGGTATAAACTAATCAAGCTGCACTGAAAAAAACATTTTGCTGCGAGATTTGAGAGATCACCAGTCTGCAGGCCGAACGGTAGCTCCTATTTCACTGTATGCTGTTGTTCTCTTCTGGAAGTGATAACTTCAAGATGAGACAAATATTATTGTCAATCCTTTTGACTTTCACTTCTGATGATCTTAGCATTCAGTCAATGTACTTATCCCACAAATCCACACCACCTCCCAAAGAGCCAAGAGTGCTTGCTGTGCCCTTCCCAGCTGCCAAAACTCCCCAGCTGCCTTCCAATTACTCCTGTAATGTGATTCTGTGTCCAACACACAGTCCAGCAGCACACTAAAAAACGTAAGGACATAACATAAAGAACTATCAAATTAAGGAGCACAAGGGGTGCTGCAGCAACTACATTGCTAATTTTCCTGTTTACACTGATTCACTGATTACAGCTATTTTTGATCCCAAACTGCTATACAATAAAATGCTACCCTTGAAAACAGCTGAATGTCAGAAATTCATTGTTTAAGGTCAGCAGAGACAGTTACAATCCTCAAGTGTAACCTATTGCATAAGGGATTCAGGGAACCTTGCCGGTCATTTCTGAAACAGACCCAGGACTTCCCTATGAGCTGCCATGCATCTGTTAGAAAGCCACCTCTTCTTGGCTGCAAGACTGAAAGGTCTGGAGGGTGCTAGAAAAGCCATTTCTCTGGTTAGCTATTCTCCTACAAGAGGTGCAACTTTTTCTGGTCTGCACATCTTTCTGTACTTCTAGCCACTGAATTGCTCAATGTGTTTTTCTCTGAATTGAAGTCCCCAGTTAGAAATCTCTTTCCTGCCACAGCTCTTCTTTGCTGATATCAAGCAACCTTATAATTTCTGAATTACATAAAATACATCAGTCCACTCAAATCTCTCAGCATAGGAAGGGCTTTGCAGACTTCCCACAGTCTTGTATTTCCCCTGTGAATGCTTTTGTTTAGCCCAGCTTTCCTTGGAAACTGGGCATCTGCGCATAAAGCCCAGCTCTTCCTCAAAGATCATCAGACTACCAGAATAGAAAGTCAGCATCCTCAATGCAAGATTGCCTTTGATAATGGTGTGCTCTTGGTATAAACAGAGGAGACAATACTTTAATTACTTTGTCCTAGCACTTCATTCAGGTTGACCAGGGTAGCTGGGCAAATGGAGAAAGCCACCTGGAAGGGAGATGAAAGAAGGCAGTACATATGTGTGGGTAGCAGCTCATGTTGCCTCCAGCTGTTACAAATGGGCACAGGATGAGCCTTACGCTCTTTCCTTCTTTTCTTTCTATCAGCACACAAATGCCTGGTTGGAAGGCTCTCCTGCCAGTTGCTCAGAATATTTCTCTCTTCCACTTGACTGCACAAAGGCAGGCCATCACCATGCAGCTCCTGAAACATCCTGTAACATTGCAGAAGCAGGGTCTTCTACGCCTATTTGTGGCAAATCCAGCTCTGGTGCCATACACGGTATTGAGGGGTAATGGCAAGAAGATGCTAATTAACAGAAGAATAAAAAGCCAAAGCACACTCTGCAGGCTGAATGGCCGACTGGCTAGGCGACAAGGAGAAAGGTTTCTGGCTGCCAGACCTGTTCCACCCATCCCTACTTGTAATGCTGACTGATCTCCACCTGTCTTTTATTGAACCCAAAATTGCAGAAGGACCTCATGGTTAAAATGGGAAATTTGAGTTTCTTCTCTCTAAGTCCCACAGCCCAACATGAAGCATCAGGTATGGTATTGCTGACTCAGCCTTTCTGGGTTGCACTTATTCTGCAATGGGACTATTATCATCAGAACAGGCTGAGAGATTCTGTTTTCATAGCTTTTTAACCTTTTCCTTCCCAAAACAGTGTTTTTCTTTATTTTGGCCCCGTGAGTGTTTTGAAGAGAGGATTTATATGGATTTGTTAAAGCATTTTTCTCCCATAATCCCATTAAGTCAGTCTCTAATTCTTTCCAGGGGTCCCTTCTGAAGAGCTATTTCCTCTTGGATTCATTTACTTTCTTTGGATTGGGGGAATTACTGAGGCAGATTCCACTCTCATTTTCATCACTGTAAGCCCAAAACAACTTTAGCAGTTTTCTGGAACAGATTCACATTTTACTGGTGTAAATGAGGTCAGAATTTGGCTTGTGGCACTCAATTCTGCTAAGAGACAAAGAGAAAACAAGAAGTATACACAGGTTGGGAAAGTCTATTTGGAAATGGGTGAAGCTCGCAATTTCATTGAAAGTCTTGTTTTCTACACTTTCCCATTAAGAGGATTTGCTGAGCACCATGGATATTCCCACGTAACCCAGCACACTGGTAAGAGAGATCTCAGGGAAACAAGTTCCAGGACAAATGCTTTCAAGAGTGCTGAGATTTTCTGCAGAAAAAAAACAACAACACAGTGGCAAAAACATGAAGTCGTGCCAGTGCAAAGGAAGGTTAAGAAACAGTGCAAGGTCAGCTTGCCAAGTCATTAAATCTGCAGTGGCCTCACAGACAAGGAGGAAGCCAACAGAAAACTGAGATGTGCAAATGACTAAGGATGGGCACAAACGTTTAGCACATACAAGTAGGGATAAAGTTGAGAAAGGCGTGCAAAGGATGCATAACTAGAACAGAAAAGGAAGATGAGCAGAATATTCCAGCTCTAAAGCAGTAGTCAAAGGAGGGGTAAGGAAAGCATTGCTTTGGCATCACTGTAGAGGAGCTCTGAGAAGGGGCTGGCCTAGGAGGGGCCGTCGTGAGCCACAGGGCTCCTTACAGAGCAGCTCCCTGTCTGGCTGCAGAAAGGGGAAATGAGGAGCAAGGCAGTTATTATGGCCAGTCAGCTCGATTTTGGTTCCTGGAAAAGCACTAGAACAAATAATTAAGCTAACTAATCATCAGCACCTAGGAAACAACAAAGAGAAGAGGAACAGCCAGTGCTGATTTGCCAGGAGCAAATCATATCAAATTGACCTAATTTCATCGTGCAGCAGGGCTTGCAGACAGAGGCAAAGCAGAAGTCTTACATCTTGACTTTGGTTGGAGCTTTGGTACTGCCTCACCTCATGTTACAAGAAGGAAGCCAAGGAAACATGACCTTGACAGTCCCTCTGAGGGAAGGAGGCAAAGCTGGCAGGAAAACTGTACTCAGAAAGGTGTCATTGGCAAAATATAGGGAGGAATAGGTAGGGTTCAACAGGGCTCCAGCCTGCTCCCATTTCATTCACTGTTTTTTATTAACCACTGGATGATAGAATAACAAGCACCCTTATTAGGTATGCAGATGGCACCAAGCTGAGACGAGCTACAAGATGTGAGAGAACAGGATTAGAATTAAAAATCATCTTGATGTGACAGATGAAAGGTTTGAAAAAATAGGATGTAATTCAGTAAGGAGGGAAGCAAAGCTGTGCCTAGATGTAGGTACAATCAGCTGCAGTAGGACAAAACAAGAGGCAGCCTGTTGGGCAGATGTGGAGCAGTACAGCAACTCAGAAATCTGAAATGAACAACAACAGGCCATTTTGTCTTACACAGACATCACGATACCAGGGCATACTGAGAGGAGCTGAGTCTGTGAAGCACACAGCTGAACCCTTCATGTTACCCAGCACTGAAGCAACATTTATCTCAGGAGAATCCAGAAGAAAGTAGAATGAAATGTCTGGGAAACAGGACTTCTGAGGAAAGGCTTGTTCTAAGGAGATTGTTCACCCCAGCAAGGAGCCTGGAGGAGACACACATATCCAACAGTGCAAAGCATAAATCCAGAAAAAGAGGCAATAAGCTGTTCTCCAAATATACCCACCCTGAGGGATGCAAGAAACAACAGGCTTGAGTTGCAGCATGAGAGATTAAGGTCAGATGCTTGGGGAAGGCCGAAGTGCAAGAACAAGACTGCCTGGAAAGGATGCGAGTCCTGTCTCCTTGCAGGCATTTAATAGCAGGCTGAAAACATCAGGAATATTTCTGAAACCAACCTCTTGAGGTCCTTCCTAGCCATGTTTTTCTCTGATTCTGTGATGAATTATGTTAAATGAATATAAATTACCCCACACAGGGACACTGACGTTCAGTCTCTGTGATGAATAGCGATCAACAACAAACTGTCACATTGCAGGGAGGCATCCAGTAGCGTTATTACTAGAAATATT